TTATAATTAGATACAAATATTCAAGGTATTCAATTTAAGTCTGGACTACTCGGAATATAATATACTACATGAATATTATATAAATTATATAGTATTCATAATCAAATATTATACCACATAAATATATCTATTATATAGATTTTCATAAGAAGTTTTATACACTATGTAGATTTTCACATGGATTTTCATACACCATCTGGATTCTCAGATGGATTTTCATACATCATCTGGATTCCCAGATGGATTTTCATACACCATGTGGATTCCCAGATGGATTTTCATACACCATCTAGATTCCCAGATGGATGTTCATACACCCTGTGGATTTCCACATGGATTTCCATACACCATATGGATTTCCATATGGATTCCCATACACTGTATGGATTCCCATATAGGATTTTTAATATCCTATATGGATTCCTAGGCATTCCCATGGGTTCCCATGGGAATTCATCTGGTTTTTTTCAACAGGGATCGTATCAGCTGATATAGAGAAGATGTACAGACAGAACTTAATCAGTCCCGAGCAACAACCTCTACAAAGGATCTTGTGGCGGATCAAAGGCGAAGAGCTTATATCTACATTCGAGCTAAACACACTTACTTACGGTACGGCGTCAGCTTCTTTCTTAGCTACCAGATGTCTAATGGAGTTGGCAAACGAGTTCACAGATCAAGTCCCGAAAATAGCAAAGGTCATTCGAAAAGACTTCTACATGAACGACTTGCTAACAGGAGCTAACAGTATCGATGAAGCAAAGGAAATCATACAAGAACTGTCGTACATTCTTGAAACAGCAGGATTCAAGCTGCGAAAATGGCTATTGAACGAACCTTTGATAACAGCAAACATCCCAACAGAAGACAAGCTTCCGGAAGGCGTCGAATTCACAGATGGAAAACAAATGAAGACACTAGGAACTTACTGGCGGGCGCAGTCCGACGACATTCAAGGTGAAAGAAGACACACAAACAAAGATAACGAAGAGACACATCCTGGCCGAAATAGCAAAGATATTCGATCCTTTAGGAATCCTCGGTCCATGCAATATCATAGCCAAAATATTGTTGCAAAAATTATGATTGTATAAGCTATCGTGGGACGAATCCTTACCAGCAGAGTTACATGAAAAATGGTCAGCCTTCCGCAAACAAAGCAAGAAATAAACAAGATCAAGATTCCGCGCAGTGTTGTAGGTAAAGATTGCACAAGCTTGCAATTACACGCATTCGCAGACGCATCACTAAACGCATACGGCGCCTGCGTATACATCAGATCACAAAGTCCCGAAGGAAATTATCAGGTATCATTGTTATGTGCAAAAAATAGAGTAGCACCTCTCCAGCAGCAAACCATCCCTTGTTTGGAGTTGTGCGCAGCCCTCCTTCTCGCCCGCCTGGTGGCCAAGGTAGTACAGTCGCTTGGAATCTCCTTCGACAAGATCACTTGTTGGAGTGACTCAACAATAGTGTTGAGTTGGCTACGAACACAATTAGGCACATTGCAAACGTTTGTGTCAAATCGCGTGGCCAAAATACGTTTAACGAAGGCATATGAATGGCGACACGTTCCCACAGCAAAAAACTCTGTAGATTTACTCTCACGTGACTTAGAAGCAGGCAAGCTAAACAAGCCAAGGCTTTGGTGGAACGGATCGTCATTTCTACCAAAGGACGCTAGCAATTGGCTACAAACACGCATCATAGAGAATAGCTTATTGGAAGTCAAGGAAGAACATTGCATGTTCGAACAAGTTGCGTTCCGCAGAACCATCGATTTTTGAAGGCAAGTCTAGTGCGAAGCGTCTCATTCGAACTATAGCGTATTGCAGGCATTTTGCAAATAATTGCAAAGACAAAGGCTAGCGCAGAACAGATCCCATTGCTGCGGTGGAACTCAACAAGACATTGCACATGCTCTTAAAAATAGCTCAAAGGGAATCATACTCTAAAGAAATAAAAGATATAGTAGCTAACAAACGCAATTCTGCTCAGATTAAGAAATTGAATCCTTTGAATCCATTTATCGATAGCGAAGGCATTTTACGAGTAGGTGGCAGGCTAGGAAATAAAATTCAAATTTCGATAATAATAAGAAGCATAATCCGATAATATTGTCTACAAAGCACCTGTTTACAAAACTACTCTTTAAAGACGAGCATCTACGACTATTACACGCAGGACCTCAATTGCTCTTGTCTTCCATACGCGAAAAATTATGGGTAGTTGGCGGTAGAAACTTAGCAAAGCAAATAGTACACGATTGTATTAGATGTTTTCGAAATAAGCCACGACAGGCACAGGCTTTAATGGGTGAATTACCCAAGGCTCGCGTATCGGTTAGTATGCCATTCCATGTCACGGGCGTAGATTACGCGGGTCCGTTTTCGATAAAAGACAGAAAAGGTAGAGGATGCAAAACAAGTAAATGTTACATATGCCTATTTATTTGTTTTGATCAAAACTGTTCATTTAGAGTTAGTTTCAGACATGACTTCTGAAGCGTTTATCGCGGCGCTCAGACGATTTTCAGCTCGACGTGGTAAGCCGGCTCATATCTACTCCGACAATGGAGCGAGCTTTGTAGGTTCCAATAGGGAACTAAAAAAGCTAGGCAAGCTGATGGAAAAGGAAGGTGCAAGCATTAGCGAAGCCATTAACGACATGGGAATTAATTGGCATTTCATTCCCGCTTACTCCCCCCATTTTGGAGGATTGTGGGAGTCAGGTGTTAAAGCAACCAAATATCACCTGAAATGTATCGCAAGTAACCTAGCGTTAACCTTCGAAAAATTTAGTACATTACTCTCTCAGATCGAAGCTACGTAAAATTCACGTCCGTTAACACCACTATCATCTGACCCAAACGATCTCACACCTTTGATCCCGGCTCATTTTCTTATTGGCCGTACGTTTACATCAGTAGTGAATCCGTCACTACACATCTGTCAGGAAATAAGTTGTCTAGATGGCAGTTGGTTCAGAGTTTAAACCAGCATTTTTAGAAGCGCTGGAGTAAAGAATACATATCTAAACTCCAGCAACGTACTAAATGGAAAGAGCCGTTCAAATCGATTGAAGAGAACACCATGGTTCTAATTAAAGACAATAATCTTCCTCCATTCAAGTGGAAGTTAGCCCGGGTCATCACGGTTCACCCAGGGGAAGATGATGTAGTGAGAGCAGTCACTGTTAAAACGGCGACAGGCAATATTCGAATCGCGACTGCTAAACTTTGTCCGTTACCACTCGACGGTTGTGATCAAAACCGATAGTTGATAAGTTGCGAAATTATTTCCTTATTGTTTGCGTTTATTTTATCATATACTATAAGTTACGAATTTATGCGTTTATTTTGTTTAATAATAAGTTACAGTTGACTATTGCGTTATCTAAAAGTTCAAAGTCAAAGGGTATAGCGAGTTAAGGAGGTGATTTCGGGCCTCGCGCGTAATCGATAGTTATAGTGGGTAAAATGTCCACCCAGATAAAAGAAAATTTTGTGCCAAGTTTCATTTCAAAAGACCCACACAATTTCGAAATATCACAAGAAATG